AAGGTAGTTAGACAGAGGGGGAGACCCGACAGCGAGCGACAATGGAGGAGGCGAAGGCAAGAGGGGAGGACGAGACGTAAGGGAACGAAGCAACATGGGGTGCGAACGCTGAACACGAGGGACAGGACGAGCACGAGAGGGATGGGGGGACCAGACGTGAAGAGGCGTCTGGTCAGGAGACAGAGGAGGAGTAACAAGAGGGGAACGAGGTGGGAAACGGGCCGGGGACGAGTCCGGCGGAGGAAACATAGGACCGTGGATAGGAAGAGGAGGAGGCGGCGAGGGAGGCGCGGGCGAGCGGTCGGGGGAGGGAAGGCCGAGCAGGCGAAGGGCGGACACCGGCGGCGACTGCGGCTGCTGATCGACGCCGACACCTGGACCACCAGCTGCATCATGGGCACCTCTAGAACACTCCACTCTAGCACCCCCTAAAAAAACACCCCCAGAGCGAGAACTCTCTCCAGCAGCGGTGCCACCCCCGAGCGCGCCGGGACAAGCCACGACAGGAACCTCAGGACTAGCACCCTCCTCAAAACCAGCACCCCCAGAGTCCACGAACGGCTGGGGCTGCTGCAACGGCTGCGGCGGTTGCTACGGCGGTGACGACGACGGGGGAGGAGGAGACACCAGGGGAAGGACAGGTGGCGCAAACGGCGCCGTGGGGCCACCAGCGTCAGCCGACTCTTTGACCGAGGAAACCAACGGGAGGGGAGTGACGTGAGACACACCAGAGGGAGCAGGACGGGAAGGGAGGGGAGCAGGGGCGACCGGGGGAGTGGGAACCAGAAACAAGGGGTGGGGAACCGGGAGACCTCGGTGGAGAAAGCGGTCGTAAAAGGAGACAGACTTGTCGAAAGTGGCATCATGGGAATGGAAAAAGCGGTGAAACAGAGGGTGGTAAAAGTGCGAGTCGGATGAGTCAAGGGGGAAATTGAGGAAGACACAGGGGACAGTGCGGGCAGTGAGCTTGTCATGCCGGAGGCACGAACGTGAGCGAGGCAGCCCCAGACTTGGAATGTAGACGCGTCTCCAGGGAAACCGGTCCAAAGAAGGGGCGAAACCTGCGGCCGCTGAGAGTGTGGCCACAGGTTAAGCTAATGGGCGGCGTAGCGAATGGCGAAAGGCCGCAGGAAATGGGGTGCACCAGCTTGGATCATGGAGGTACGAGCCACCTCCATGACCAAGCCGATGCGTCACTCAGCGACCCCATTCTGCTGCGGGGAGTCCAGGAGGGCGAACGTCTGGATGATGCCCTCCGCACAACCAAAGCGACCAAGGCAGCCAGAGGCGAACTCGCCACCACAGTCGGAGTGAAGACGCAAGACAGGGAGACATCGGTGAACACGCGCAGAGACAAGCCATGGGAGAAGAACGTCAGACACGTCGGCCTTACGCTCCAGGGGAAACACGGTTGTGTAGCGTGTATAGTCGTGAACAAGCACTAGGAAGTAGCGCTCGCGACGCAGCCCATGGAGGGGGGCGGGGCCCTAGACATCCATGTGCAGGGTCTGCAGTGGTGCGAAGGTGGGGGGGGGCAACGAGGAGGAGTGAGGGGCACGGCGGAGCCGACCCTCGACGCAGGGTGTGCACGAAGGCGCGAGTGAGGAGGGGAGCGCAGGGAACGACTCAGGGAGGCCTAGGACAAGATGGTGCTGGGACATGTGATGGAGACGGGTGAGGGCGGGGTGACCTAGACGGTGGTGCCACAGAAGCGATGGGTGAGTAAGCGACCGACACGAGCACGCCGCAGCAACCTGGGAAGACGCTGCTACCTGGGGAGGCGTTCCAACCAGGGGGGACGCGGTGTCCAGCGTGAACAAGCCAGACACCGGGTCCTGGGGGAATGTGGTGAGGGGGGCACCAGTGGCGGCCTCAGTACAGACAGCGTACCGCTCGTGCCTAGGGAACGTAGTGGTGACGCCAAGGTCCTGGAGGCAACCGATACCAGCTAGGTTCCTAGAGAACGAGGGGATGTGCAGACCTGTAAGGGTGCCCGAGGGAACCGCTGGACAGGGGAGAGTAGTGGAGCTACGAGCGACTGCAGGACCGTAGGAAGGGTCTGCAAGAGCAACTGCAGCGGGAGCGGCAAGCGGCGTAAGTGTAGTGGAGTCGCGAAAGAAACACCGGGAAGTGCCGGAGTCCTGGGTGAAGGAGAGCGCGGCAGCAGGGACTGAGGTCGGAGGAGCGAGGGAGGACCCAAGGCTAAACAAGGCAGGGGATCCTACGCCTAACGCAACAGGGGAGCCTGAACTAGGCACACTAGGCACACGCACTCTAGGCAACACACGGTAATAGGAACCAGTCATATGAGAGTCATCGACATACAGCACATACAAAGCAGAGCTAATCTTATCCATGTCCATTTCAAAGATCTAAACACCACGATGGAGCAGATTGTGCCAGTCAGGGAGGTCAGGCGACGGGCCGAAGCGGAGACGAAACAGGTCGTCTAGGCGACGGAAGCAACGAGTGGGGGTATGGCCGGTCTTACCGCATACGAGGCCGCGGTGAGGACCGGTCTGGAGCTAGTACTGGCAGCGCCCGTCACTCTGACTACCACCCGACAGCACGCCGCGCGCACGACCACTGCGGCCACTGTTACCGCCGGCTCTAGGCCACCCGGGGGGGAGACGACCGACCCGCCGCTGCTGCTGCGGGTGCTGCGGCTACTGCTCCCGCTGGTCCAGCGACGGTGCCTGCTGCTGCTGTTGCTGGGACTGCTGCGCCGAGGCACCAGCCCCAGCCCCCTTGTCTGTACTACTAGCGGGCGAGCCACCTCCACCACCGGCACCACCCCCTCCTCCGCTACCTCCGCTGCGCCCAGCCTTGGGGCGTCGACCCTTACCCGGACGAAACTGCATTGCGGCGGCTGTCTCCGCAGCCGGAGCTGTCTCAATGACTGCAGCAGAACCGTCAGAGTAGTGCACTGAGTAGGGGCAAAGCTCTGAAAGATAGAGATCGGCACGGTACTGCTAGACTGGGCATTTGAGCGCTAACGAGTCTCTATGGCAGATAGGGTGTCGACAAAGTCAGTGAGGTCAGCGGGGTGGAGACTGAAGATTGATCGCGGGCGGTGGCAAGGCGGTTAGGGAGGTGGGTGGCAAGCAGGTAGAGGGTAGAGCAGATGGGGGGATGAAACATACGAAGCTGGGCCTCAGTGCAGGCAGCGCGCCAGGTCGTATCTAGCGTGCGCAGGTGGACGGCCAGGTCAGGGATAGTAGGGAAAGATGCGAGATCAGGAAAGAGCATGGGCAGGATCAGGCGACCGACGGAGGCAGAGGGCGGGGTGGAATAGCGGGCGACAACAGCCTCTAGAAACTCCTGTGCAGTCTTGACCGACCTAAAGTGGGGGCGCTCGGACAGGGGGAGGGCATGACTAATCGCAAGCTGTGCGACAACCAGACAGCACGAGCAAGGGCAGCAGCGGCAGTGGACTCACGGTCAGCAGAAGTGGGGTCAGCGGGTAGAGTAGCAGGGGGGTCCGGGCAAGGGAGCGTACCGTTGATGTGGATGGCCAGGGAGTGGCTGTCCTGCCGCTGACCAGTCAGGTGTCGTTGGAGGTCGACGAGCCATGAGTCGAACTCAATCGGCTGCCCCTCCGCATCAAAACGCAGGACCGAGTCCGCCATCATGGTCGCTGCAGCAGCAGAAAAGGCGGTACTGAGCAGTAGGGTGCGGCAAAAAGCGGTGATGTGCGGTGCAGTGCTGTACAGCGTGGTGCAGGGCGGTGCAATGCAGTGCAGTGCGGTGCAGAGTAGTGCAGTGCAGCATAGGGCGGTGCAGAGTGGTGCAGTGCGGTGCAGAGCGGTGCATTGCAGTGCGGTGCCGGACGGTGTAGCGCGGTGCAGAGGGCCGAGGACGGCGGCGAGGTGTCTCGGAAACGGGGCTGCAGGCGGCGAGGCGACGGGGCCGGCTAGGCGTGGAGGTGACGGGGCCGGCTGGACCACGGGGCGGCTAGGCAACGGGGCCAGCAAGGGGACGGGGCCGGTCGGACGACGGGTCCTGCTAGGCGACGGGGTCGGCTAGGAGGCGGGGCCGGCTGGTAGACGGGGCCGGCTGGGCGACTAGGCTGGCGAGGCGACGGGACCGGCTGGGAAGCGGGGACGGCTAGGAGGTGGGGCCGGCTGGGCGACGAGGCCGGCGAGGCGATGGGTGCGGCTAGGAGGCGGGGTCGGCTAGGAGGCGGGGCCGGCTGGGCTACGGGGCCGGCTAGGCGACGGGGCCGATCGGACGACGAGGCCGGCTAGGCGTCGGGGCCGGCTAGGAGGCGGGGCCGACTGAGCTACGGGGCTGGCTAGGACGACGTGGCCGATTGGGCGGCGGGGCCGACGGGGCCGATTGGGCGGCGGGGCCGATTGGGCGGCGGGGCCGATTGGGCGGCGGTTCCTGCTAGGAGGCGGGGCCGGCTAGGCGACGGGGCGGGCTGGGCTATGGGGCCAGCTAGGCGACAGGGCCGGCACGTGCGGGAGGCGAACGGGGCGGCTAGGACCTAGGGCGGAAGCGCTAGTGGGCGGGCGGGGGGGACCTAACCTACTCATGATACCATGTTGAAGTGAAAGAATGACTAGAACAGTGACATACAAGGGAATATAACCTAATGGGTTGTACTCCCTAAGGCACAACCCTATATAGTCTATAACAACATGCAATGTATGTTTGACAATAATTTCCAACAAGCAGCTTGGCTAGGTTCGCAAGTTAGTGTGCAGTGCAGGGGAGACTGAAATCTGTCAGTCGTATGAGAGGTGTGCTGAATTAGTGGAGTGAGGAATTTTTGGAGACCCTTCTTGAGGCCTCTTAGGCTCACTTTGTAGGACGTGAAGTCGATTTGGGCCTTTGTCAACGTTTTGTTTCTTTCTAGTCAACCTCGATTGCATTCAAAACGAGCTTGAATGGTGTGTATCGAAGCCGAGTGAAACGCAGCAGTAGCCTCGAGCCTTGAAAGGGGGGAGCAAACACCATGTCGCTATTCCCTATCCTCACTTGCCATGTGCGGCGGCTCATCACAGTTCGCTCGGGCCTTACTTAGTCGCGGCGAGTTGCCAATTGACGCACTGCCTGGACGCGTGAAGCGTCTCGATAAGGGCAGACTCGTTCACAGATGAGGCCGATCAAGGGCGAGCCTGTTCGGGACGGGTGTGGGAAGGGAGAGTGGGAGTGAGAGCTGGGTGAGCAGCGGGGGTGGCGCGGCGAAGGCGATGGGGGAGCGCATGGGTGCTGTAGCGACTGCCGGATAGAGGCGGGTGCAGAGATACCGACGGACACAGAGATAGCGCCGCTCGTCGACGAGAGTGCGACAGACGGCGACGAGAGTGCGACAGACGGCGACGAGGGTGCGATCCAAACCGATTCGCGATGGCGGAGAGCAGCGAAAGCAAAGTCGGCAGAAGCAGCCGCAGGGGCGGCAGCGGGATTTCGAGCCGCAGCACCAGCAGCAGCGACGGAGGCGGAGGCGGCGGCGGAGGCGGCGGCGGCGGTTGTAGCAGCAGCAGCAAGGCGGTTGCTAGCAAAGCCAGGAGCGGCGGCGGCGCGACGAGGAAGCCGTGGCGGCCCGTGCCGACCGCGCTCCACCTGCACCACTTCGTCGCCGCCGCCGCCGCCGCCGCTGCTGCCGCCCCTGCTGCGCCCGCGCCCCAAACGCCGCCCCTGCGCGAGTCCGAGCGAAGTGTGGCGCGCGGAAGGGGCAGGGGGAGCCCAGATGGCGCCCTCCGTGAGGGGGAGGGGCGCGGAGGGAAAATGGAACGCGCAGGAGATGGGCGCAGGGGGACTGGCTGTGCTGGCGGGGAGGGGAGGCTGGGCGGAGGGGGAAGGGGAGGCGGGGTTGGGAGAGGAGCCGTAGGAGGGAGGGGTGATGATGCGGGCGCGTGTGCTGTGAGCCCTGCGGACACGAGGCGAGGCGTGGGCGGAGTGGACGGAGCAGCAGGGCGGGGGACAGGTGAAGGCGCAGGGCGGCTGGTGGGGAAGGCGGGAAGAGAGGGGAGAGGGGAAGGCGGGTGCAAGGAGAGGGAGGGAGGGCGCGCGCGGGTGAAGCCGGGAACAGCCGAGGGCGCAGCGGCACGGCGCGGCGCGGAGAGGGCGGAGGGCGGTGCAGGGCGCGTGGCCGTGAACCCAGCGACCTCTGAGAGCATCGCCGCGAGGCGCGGCAAAGAGAGAGCGGCGCCGAAGAAGAAGCGAGCGAGCCGAGTTAAGCGACTCGTGCTGCAGGCGCGCAGGGGAAGGGAGGGGGAGGATGCAGTGGAGGGGGAGGGAGAGGATGAGGCGCGTGGGGAGAAGCATGAGATGGCATGGCATGCGGTGGGGCGGGCGGGGAAGCAGGAGGCCGGGAGAGGTGGGGAGGATGGAGAAGGGGAGAGAACGGAGTGGGCTTGCAAGAAGGGGGAGGAGCGGGAGGAGGACGTGGAGGATAGGGAGGAGGACGTGGAGGGTAGGGAGGAGGAAGAAGAGTGGCAGAGAGCTGAGCAGCAGGAGAGAGCAGCGGAGGGGGTGGCCGAGGAAGCAGGCGAGTTGGGAGAGGCTTGGGCAGATGGTGAAGGGGAGGAGGCGAGGCTTGGAGAGGATGCGAAGTGTGAGAGGCTTGAAGGCGGACGTGCTCTCAGTGTGGGGCGGGAGGAAAACGGGAGGCAGCGGAAGGAGGAGGGCGGGATGGGGGAGAGGGATGGAGAGGGCAGGGGAGAGAGGAGAGAGGGGGGGCGCGGAGAGGGCGGGGGCAGTGTGGGTGCGGCTGGAGATGCAGCGGACTCGCAACGAGTGAACGGGGCGCAGGCGAGTAGGGGCGGCATGGGGCGTCGGCAGCATAACGACGTGGCGAGGGATGGGCGGCGGGCGGGTGGTGGGAGAAGCGGAGGTGGCGCGCGGGAAGGTGTGCGAGAGGAGCGGCACGAGGCGAGGGATGGGCGGGAGAAGAGCGAGGAGCAAGGGCCATTGGAAGGCAGGCAGGCGGATGGGAAACGTGTGGGCAGGCGGAAAGAGGGAGGAGAGGAGGGGCGAGGGAATCCGCACGGGGAGTGCATGAGGCTGGAACAGGAGGCGGCGAATGAGACGAGTGTGTGCGATGAGGCGAGCAGTGTGGGAGACGGAGTGGTCAAGGGGGAGGCGGAGGAGGAGAAGACGGAAGAGGAGGAGGGAGGGCAGGAAGTGGGTGAAGGGGAGGCGAAGGGAGGGCAGGAAGGTAGCGCAGGGCAGAGGCGTGGTCATCCGACAACGTTCGTTGGGGTGAATGCAAGCAGCAGGTGAGGCAAGCATCAGGTGAGGCAAGCAGCAGGTGAGGCAAGCATCAGGTGAGGCAAACAGCAGCAATCAGCAAGTGGGCCCTCCCTTGCATGCGTCGCACTCGAGTCAATGGCCTGGTCTCTCATGCATGCACCATGCATCCCCATGCACCATCATGCACCCTCATGCACCATCATGCACCATCATGCACCATCATGCACCATCATGCACCATCATGCACCATCATGCACCCTCATGCACCACCAAGCACCATCATACACCATCATGCACCATGATGCACCATCATGCACCATCATGCACCATCATGCACCATCACGCACCATCATGCACCATCATGCGCCATCATGCACCATCACGCACCATCACGCACCATCATGCACCATCATGCACCATCATGCAACATCATGCACCATCATGCACCATCATGCACCCTCATGCACCCTCATGCACCATCATGCTCCATCATGCTCCATCATGCTCCATCATGCACCATCATGCACCATCATGCACCATCATGCACCGTCATGCACCGTCATGCACCATCATGCACCATCATGCACCATCATGCACCATTATGCACCATCATACACCATTATGCACCATCATGCACCATCATGCACCATCACGCACCATCACGCACCATCATGCACCATCATGCACCATCATGCACTATCATGCACCGTCATGCACCATCACGCACCATCATGCACCATCATGCGCCATCATGCACCATCATACGCCATCATGCACCATCACGCACCATCATGCACCGTCATGCACCCTCATGCACCATCATGCACCATCATGCACCATCACGCACCATCATGCACCATCATGCACCATCATCCACCATCATGCACCATCATGCATCATCATGCACCATCATGCACCATCATGCACGATCATGCACCATCACGCACCATCATGCACCATCATGCACCGTCATGCACCATCATGCACCATCATGCACCGTCATGCACCGTCACGCACCATCATGCACCATCATGCACCATCATGCAACATCATGCACCCTCATGCACCATCATGCACCATCATGCACCATCATGCACCACCATGCACCGTCATGCACCGTCATGCACCCTCATGCACCATCATGCACCGTCATGCACCATCATGCCCCATCATGCACCATCATGCACCATCATGCGCCATCATGCGCCATCATGCACCATCATGCCCCATCATGCAACATCATGCACCATCATGCACCATCATGCACTATCATGCACCATCATGCACCATCATGCACCATCATGCACCATCATGCACCATCATGCACCATCATGCACCATCATGCACCATCATGCACCATCATGCACCATCATGCACCATCATGCACCGTCATGCACCGTCATGCACCATCATCATGCACCGTCATGCCCCGTCATGCCCCATCATGCACCATCATGCACCATCATGCACCATCATGCACCATCATGCACCATCATGCACCATCATGCACCATCATGCACCATCATGCACCATCATGCATCATCATGCACCTTCATGCACCATCATGCACCATCATGCACCCTCATGCACCATCATGCACCATCATGCACCATCATGCACCATCATGCACCATCATGCACCATCATGCACCATCATGCACCATCAGGCACCATCATGCACCATCATGCACCATCATGCACCATCATGCACCGTCATGCACCGTCACGCACCGTCACGCACCATCATGCACCATCATGCCCCATCATGCAACATCATGCACCATCATGCACCCTCATGCACCATCATGCACCATCATGCACCATCATGCACCGTCATGCACCCTCATGCACCATCATGCACCATCATGCACCATCACGCACCATCATGCACCATCATGCACCATCATCCACCATCATGCACCATCATGCATCATCATGCACCATCATGCACCATCATGCACGATCATGCACCATCACGCACCATCATGCACCATCATGCACCATCACGCACCATCATGCACCATCATGCACCGTCATGCACCATCACGCACCATCATGCACCATCATGCACCATCATGCAACATCATGCACCATCATGCACCCTCATGCACCATCATGCACCATCATGCACCATCATGCACCACCATGCACCGTCATGCACCGTCATGCACCCTCATGCACCATCATGCACCGTCATGCACCATCATGCCCCATCATGCACCATCATGCACCATCATGCGCCATCATGCGCCATCATGCACCATCATGCCCCATCATGCAACATCATGCACCATCATGCACCATCATGCACTATCATGCACCATCATGCACCATCATGCACCATCATGCACCATCATGCACCATCATGCACCATCATGCTCCATCATGCACCATCATGCACCATCATGCACCATCATGCACCATCATGCACCGTCATGCACCGTCATGCACCATCATGCACCGTCATGCCCCGTCATGCCCCATCATGCACCATCATGCACCATCATGCACCATCATGCACCATCATGCACCATCATGCACCATCATGCACCATCATGCACCATCATGCACCATCATGCATCATCATGCACCTTCATGCACCATCATGCACCATCATGCACCCTCATGCACCATCATGCACCATCATGCACCATCATGCACCATCATGCACCATCATGCACCATCATGCACCATCATGCACCATCATGCACCATCAGGCACCATCATGCACCATCATGCACCATCATGCACCATCATGCACCATCATGCACCGTCACGCACCGTCACGCACCATCATGCACCATCATGCCCCATCATGCAACATCATGCACCATCATGCACCCTCATGCACCATCATGCACCATCATGCACCCTCATGCACCATCATGCACCATCATGCACCATCATGCACCATCATGCACCACCATGCACCGTCATGCACCGTCATGCACCCTCATGCACCATCATGCACCGTCATGCACCATCATGCCCCATCATGCACCATCATGCACCATCATGCGCCATCATGCGCCATCATGCACCATCATGCCCCATCATGCAACATCATGCACCATCATGCACCATCATGCACTATCATGCACCATCATGCACCATCATGCACCATCATGCACCATCATGCACCATCATGCACCATCATGCACCATCATGCACCATCATGCACCATCATGCACCATCATGCACCATCATGCACCGTCATGCACCGTCATGCACCATCATGCACCGTCATGCCCCGTCATGCCCCATCATGCACCATCATGCACCATCATGCACCATCATGCACCATCATGCACCATCATGCACCATCATGCACCATCATGCACCATCATGCACCATCATGCATCATCATGCACCTTCATGCACCATCATGCACCATCATGCACCCTCATGCACCATCATGCACCATCATGCACCATCATGCACCATCATGCACCATCATGCACCATCATGCACCATCATGCACCATCATGCACCATCAGGCACCATCATGCACCATCATGCACCATCATGCACCATCATGCACCGTCATGCACCGTCACGCACCGTCACGCACCATCATGCACCATCATGCCCCATCATGCAACATCATGCACCATCATGCACCCTCATGCACCATCATGCACCATCATGCACCATCATGCACCGTCATGCACCCTCATGCACCATCATGCACCATCATGCACCATCACGCACCATCATGCACCATCATGCACCATCATCCACCATCATGCACCATCATGCATCATCATGCACCATCATGCACCATCATGCACGATCATGCACCATCACGCACCATCATGCACCATCATGCACCATCACGCACCATCATGCACCATCATGCACCGTCATGCACCATCACGCACCATCATGCACCATCATGCACCATCATGCAACATCATGCACCATCATGCACCCTCATGCACCATCATGCACCATCATGCACCATCATGCACCACCATGCACCGTCATGCACCGTCATGCACCCTCATGCACCATCATGCACCGTCATGCACCATCATGCCCCATCATGCACCATCATGCACCATCATGCGCCATCATGCGCCATCATGCACCATCATGCCCCATCATGCAACATCATGCACCATCATGCACCATCATGCACTATCATGCACCATCATGCACCATCATGCACCATCATGCACCATCATGCACCATCATGCACCATCATGCTCCATCATGCACCATCATGCACCATCATGCACCATCATGCACCATCATGCACCGTCATGCACCGTCATGCACCATCATGCACCGTCATGCCCCGTCATGCCCCATCATGCACCATCATGCACCATCATGCACCATCATGCACCATCATGCACCATCATGCACCATCATGCACCATCATGCACCATCATGCACCATCATGCATCATCATGCACCTTCATGCACCATCATGCACCATCATGCACCCTCATGCACCATCATGCACCATCATGCACCATCATGCACCATCATGCACCATCATGCACCATCATGCACCATCATGCACCATCATGCACCATCAGGCACCATCATGCACCATCATGCACCATCATGCACCATCATGCACCATCATGCACCGTCACGCACCGTCACGCACCATCATGCACCATCATGCCCCATCATGCAACATCATGCACCATCATGCACCCTCATGCACCATCATGCACCATCATGCACCATCATGCACCATCATGCACCATCATGCACCATCATGCACCATCATGCACCATCATGCACCATCATGCACCGTCACGCACCATCATGCACCATCATGCGCCATCATGCACCATCATGCGCCATCATGCACCGTCACGCACCATCATGCACCGTCGTGCACCCTCTGCACCATCATGCACCATCATGCACCATCACGCACCATCATGCACCATCATGCACTGTCATGCACCCTCATGCACCATCATGCACCATCATGCACCATCATGCACCATCATGCACCATCATGCACCATCATGCACCATCATGCACCGTCATGCACCATCATGCACCATCATGCACCATCATGCACCATCATGCACCATCATGCACCATCATGCACCATCATGCACCATCATGCACCATCATGCACCATCATGCACCATCATGCACCATCATGCACCATCATGCACCATCATGCACCGTCATGCACCATCATGCACCATCATGCACCATCATGCACCATCATGCACCATCATGCACCATCATGCACCATCATGCACCATCATGCACCATCATGCATCATCATGCACCATCATGCACCATCACGCACGATCATGCACCATCACGCACCATCATGCACCATCATGCACCATCATGCACCATCATGCACCATCATGCACCGTCATGCACCGTCACGCACCATCATGCACCATCATGCACCATCATGCAACATCATGCACCATCATGCACCCTCATGCACCATCATGCACCATCATGCACCATCATGCACCACCATGCACCGTCATGCACCGTCATGCACCCTCATGCACCATCATGCACCGTCATGCACCATCATGCCCCATCATGCACCATCATGCACCATCATGCGCCATCATGCGCCATCATGCACCATCATGCCCCATCATGCAACATCATGCACCATCATGCACCATCATGCACTATCATGCACCATCATGCACCATCATGCACCATCATGCACCATCATGCACCATCATGCACCATCATGCACCATCATGCACCATCATGCACCATCATGCACCATCATGCACCATCATGCACCGTCATGCACCGTCATGCACCATCATGCACCGTCATGCCCCGTCATGCCCCATCATGCACCATCATGCACCATCATGCACCATCATGCACCATCATGCACCATCATGCACCATCATGCACCATCATGCACCATCATGCACCATCATGCACCATCATGCACCATCATGCACCCTCATGCACCATCATGCACCATCATGCACCATCATGCACCATCATGCACCATCATGCACCATCATGCACCATCATGCACCATCATGCACCATCAGGCACCATCATGCACCATCATGCACCATCATGCACCATCATGCACCATCACGCACCGTCACGCACCGTCACGCACCTCAGCACCATCATGCACCATCATGCACCATCATGCACCATCATGCACCATCATGCACCATCATGCACCATCATGCACCATCATGCACCATCATGCACCATCATGCACCATCATGCACCATCATGCACCGTCATGCACCGTCATGCACCGTCATGCACCGTCATGCACCGTCATGCACCGTCATGCACCGTCATGCACCGTCATGCACCATCAGGCACCATCAGGCACCATCATGCACCATCATGCACCATCATGCAACATCATGCAACATCATGCACCATCATGCACCATCACGCACCATCACGCACCATCATGCACCCTCATGCACCCTCATGCACCCTCATGCACCCTCATGCACCCTCATGCACCAGCATGCGCCATCATGCGCCATCATGCGCCATCATGCGCCATCATGCACCATCATGCACCATCATGCGCCATCATGCGCCATCATGCGCCATCATGCGCCATCATGCGCCATCATGCGCCATCACGCACCATCACGCACCATCACGCACCATCACGCACCATCATGCACCATCATGCACCATCATGCACCATCATGCACCATCATGCACCATCATGCACCATCATGCACCATCATGCACCATCATGCACCCTCATGCACCCTCATGCACCCTCATGCACCATCATGCACCATCATGCACCATCATGCACCATCATGCACCATCATGCACCGTCATGCACCGTCATGCACCGTCATGCACCGTCATGCACCGTCATGCACCATTCTGCACCATTCTGCACCATCATGCACCATCATGCACCTTGATGCGCCATCATGCACCATCACGCACCATCACGCACCATCATGCACCATCATGCACCATCATGCACCATCATGCACCATCATGCACCATCATGCACCATCATGCACCATCATGCACCATCATGCACCATCATGCACCATCATGCACTGTCATGCACCCTCATGCACCATCATGCACCATCATGCACCATCATGCACCATCATGCACCATCATGCACCATCATGCACCATCATGCACTGTCATGCACCGTCATGCACCGTCATGCACCGTCATGCACCATAATGCACCATCATGCACCATCATGCACCATCATGCACCATCATGCACCGTCATGCACCGTCATGCACCCTCATGCACCCTCATGCACCATCATGCACCATCATGCACCATCATGCACCATCATGCACCATCATGCACCGTCATGCACCGTCATGGACCCTCATGCACCATCATGCACCGTCATGCACCATCATGCACCATCATTCACCATCATGCACCATCACGTCCCATCATGCACCATCATGCACCATCATGCACCATCATGCACCATCATGCACCATCATGCACCATCATGCACCATCATGCACCATCATGCATCCACCCTCATGTATGCACCATGCACCCTCGTCCACCATCCTTCACCCCCATGCAGCCTCATGCAGCCTCATGCAGCCTCATGCGGTCAGACACCTCGCCCACGCCCTCTCCTCGGCTCTCACCTCCTCATCACCCCCTCTCACTCACCTCCTCATCACCCCCTCTCACTCACCTCCTCATGACCCCCTCTCACTCACCTCCTCATGACCCCCTCTCACTCACCTCCTCATCACCCCCTCTCACTCACCTCCTCATCACCCCCTCTCACTCACCTCTTCGTCACCCCCTCTCACCCACCAGGTAGTCGCAGCCCCCTCTTGTGCTAGTATTAGACAGTCCAAGAATTGCAAGCCGCCGCCACAGCGCACTTGCAATCATTCGACATGCCACACCCCTGTAGCCACGCCGCACCCCAGTGCTCGTGCGCCTCACACACTCGCCCTCCCCACCAGGTACTCCCAGCAGGTGGTCACCCCCGAGGTGAACGCACTGGTGCTGGAGCTGCTGGCCGCTCTGCTGCGCTTCCAACACAGGGCGCTCCAGCGAGATCCGCTCAAGGTGCGCTCTGGCGTCGCTTCACCACCCGCTTTGTATTCCACGTGAGATCCCGTCAAGCTGAGATCCCGTCAAGCTGAGATCCCGTCAAGGCGAGATACCGTCAAGGTGAGATCCCGTCAAGATGAGATCCTGTCAAGATGAGATCCCGTCAAGGTGAGATCCCGTCAAGGTGAGATCCCGTCAAGGTGAGATCCTGTCAAGGTGAGGTCCCGTCAAGGTGAGATCCCGTCAAGGTGAGATCCCGTCAAGGTGAGATCCCGTCAAGGTGAGATTCCGTCAAGGTGAGATCCCGTCAAGTTGAGATCCCAACAAGGTGAGATCCCGTCAAGGTGAGATGCCGTCAAGGTGAGATCCCGTCAAGGTGAGATCCCGTCAAGGTGAGATCCGTCAAGGTGAGATCCCGTCAAGGTGAGATTCCGTCAAGGTGAGATCCCGTCAAGGTGAGATCCCAACAAGGTGAGATCCCGTCAAGATGAGATCCCCTCAAGATGAGATCCCGTCAAGTTGAGTGAGTCCGGCAAGGTGAATGGGTTTGGCTTCCATTCATTATCTGGGGTTATTCCACTTCAGGGCCTAGCAGAGCCTGGCGAGGTGAGAGCGTGGCAAGGTGAGAGTGTGGCAAGGTGAGAGGCGAGCATGGCGAGCGTGGCAAGGTGAGAGGCGAGCTTGGCGAGTGTGGCAAGGTGAGAGGCGAGCTTGGCGAGCGTGGCAAGGTGAGAGGCGAGCTTGGCGAGCGCGGCAAGGTGAGAGGCGAGCTTGGCGAGCGCGCTGGTGGGGTGGTTTGTCTCACGGGTGGGGTGGGGAAGCTATGGCCCAGGCCGAGCCACGTGCGTGGCATGCTCATGGCACCTTCCCACCTGCCCCCCTCCGCCCCCCCCATGCACACGCCCCACACAACCGTGGCAGGCTGCCATGCGGCGGCGCCTGCTGTGCGGGCTGAGGGAGGTGGGCAAGGCTGTGCGGACAGGCCGGGCCAAGTGTGTCGTGCTGGCGCCCAATGTGGAGGAGGTGCTGGGGGAAGGTGAGACGGGGCTGGGGGAAGGTGAGACGGGGCTGGGGGAAGGTGAGGGAGAGGAGGGGAGGGGGCGCTGCGGACAGGGATGAGGGGGATGAGGGGGATGAGGGGGATGAGGGGGATGAGGGGGATGAGGGGGATGAGGGTGGGCAGTGCTGGTGGCATGGCTGACTGTGTGGTGGTGCCACCCAACATAGAGGAGGTGGGGGGGGGGTGAGAAAGGGGGTGTGGGAGGAGAGGAGAGGGAGGGTGTGGTGAGAGGGGGTATGGGAGGAGGGGGATGAGGAGCGTGGCTGGGTTTGGCAGAGCCAAGGGCGCCGTGCCTCCTAGCAGAGAAGGGGTGGCGCTGGTGGCCAGATGGGTGCAGCGTTTGGCATAAATTCGCCCATACGCCTGGGCCCGATTTTAAATTCACTCCGAAACTCGTTTGGCCCGGGCAGAAAATAATTTGACCGGGCAGGAAAAAAAACGGTTTTCCAGGTAGTGGGGGGGCGTGGGGGATCAAAATTGCAGCTGGGATTCTCGTGAGGTAAGCTGGATCCTATGCTTAGAATCGATCGACTAGCGAGGACGCGGCGGAGCTCAATGCATTCTGCTGAGGAGCGTGAGCTGCGTGGTGGATTGATTGGGTTTTCTAGATGCGGGGGATTTTGATGCGGTGGGCAGCTTTGGAGGGGTTGGGATTCTGCTGCTTGAGTAGCGTGAGTTGCGGTCTGGTTTGGTTGGGTTTCCTATATGTGGGTGGGGTGGGGGGGCTGGACGCGTTTGGGAGCTTGGGAGGGGGCTTGTTTGGGGGGTCAAAAGGTGGAATCGCAAATTGGCGAGGCCACCATTGCTTCGCCGTGCTGTCGCGATTCGCGATTTTTTTTCCGCATTTGTTTGTCCGGGCTAGCCCGCAAATTTCCCCAGCGAATTCGCGTATTTCAGGTAAATTCGCAAAACGCTGGGGACCCCGGCGAATTTTCCCACTTAGGGTTCCGCTGGTGGGCACATGGGCGCGGATGGTGCTGCTGGGCACATGGGCGCGGATGGTGGGGGGCACATGGGCGCGGATGGGGGTTCTCCTCCCTCCACTGACCTCTCTGCATCCGCCTCCCTCCCATGCGAGCCCTCCACTCCCCCCCCTGCCCCTCCCAGCCCTCGCGTCCATCCAGCCCATGCTGCCACTCGCAGCACGCCCAATCCTCTCCTCCCCCCTGGCCTTCCTTCCCCCCTCTGCCCCTCTGCCCCTCTGCCCCTGCTGCTGTGGCCCCCGGCTATCCTCCTCTCAGGCGGGCTGGACGCCGCCCTGGCGTCGATCGTGGCGGAGGCGGCGGCGCGCAGCATTCCCGTGGTGATGGCGCTCTCCACGCGCCGCCTCGCCAAGGTGAGGCCATGTGAGGGGAAGGGCGGGGGAGAGGGGGGAGGGGGGGGGGGGAGTGTTAGAGGGCGATGAAGAGGGGGAAAGGGGAGAGCGGGGGAGTTGGGTTGTGTAACGTGTGGTGGTGTAGGGGTGCAAAGGGCTGCTTTTGTGCTGCTCCTTCGTTTCGCTGATGCCTGCAATCGCTACGAGACGGCTGGCAGTGGTGGGGAGGGGATTGCAGGCATAAGAGGATAGTTGTGGCAAAACGAGGTTCGACCATGCATTATTCCGTGGTTGCTGTATCACCCAGTGGCTGCTGTATCACCCAGTGGTTGCTGTATCACCCAGTGTTTGCTGTATCAACCAGTGGTTGCTGTATCACCCAGTGTTTGCTGTATCAACCAGTGGTTGCTGTATAACCCAGTGTGTCATGTAGCCTGTGTGTCCAGCATGGAGCAAACACAGAGTGCACGTATTGAAGGTTGCAGGTGGTGTTGCCTCAGCTGTTCTGTTTGCCACCATGGGGTCAATGCTTGTCACTTCTCTCGCTGCTCCTTCCCACCTTCAACTCTCCCTTTCTCTCCCTTTCTCGCATGTCTCCCTTGCTCTCCCTTTCTCGCATGTCTCCCCTGCTCTCCCTTTCTCGCATGTCTCCCTTGCTCTCCCTTTCTTGCATGTTTGTCTCCCTTGCTCTCGCATGTCTCCCTTGCTCTCCCTTTCTCGCATGTCTCCCTTGCTCTCCCTTTCTCGCATGTCTCCCTGACTCTCCCTTTCTCGCTTGTCTCCCTTGCTCTCCCTTTCTCGCATGTCTCCCTTGCTCTCCCTTTCTCGCATGTCTCCCTTGCTCTCCCTTTCTCACATGTCTCCCTGACTCTCCCTTTCTCGCATGTCTCCCTTGCTCTCCCTTTCTCGCATGTCTCCCTTGCTCTCCCTTTCTCGCATGTCTCCCTTGCTCTCCCTTTCTCGCATGTCTCCCTTGCTCTCCCTTTCTCGCATGTCTCCCTTGCTCTCCCTTTCTCGCATGTCTCCCTGACTCTCCCTTTCTCGCTTGTCTCCCTTGCTCTCCCTTTCTCGCATGTCTCCCTTGCTCTCCCTTTCTCGCATGTCTCCCTTGCTCTCCCTTTCTCGCATGTCTCCCTGACTCTCCCTTTCTCTCATGTCTCCCTTGCTCTCCCTTTCTCGCATGTCTTCCTTGCTCTCCCTTTCTCGCATGTCTCCCTTGCTCTCCCTTTCTCGCATGTCTCCCTTGCTCTCCCTTTCTCGCATGTCTCCCTGACTCTCCCTTTCTCGCTTGTCTCCCTTGCTCTCCCTTTCTCGCATGTCTCCCTTGCTCTCCCTTTCTCGCATGTCTCCCTTGCTCTCCCTTTCTCGCATGTCTCCGTGACTCTCCCTTTCTCTCATGTCTCCCTTGCTCTCCCTTTCTCGCATGTCTCCCTTGCTCTCCCTTTCTCGCATGTCTCCCTTGCTCTCCCTTTCTCGCATGTCTCCCTTGCTCTCCCTTTCTCGCATGTCTCCCTTGCTCTCCCTTTCTCGCATGTCTCCCTTGCTCTCCCTTTCTCGCATGTCTCCCTTGCTCTCCCTTTCTCGCATGTCTCCCTTGCTCTCCCTTTCTCGCATGTCTCCCTTGCTCTCCCTTTCTCGCATGTCTCCCTTGCTCTCCCTTTCTCACATGTCTCCCTTGCTCTCCCTTTCTCACATGTCTCCTTTGCTCACCCTGTCATCTCGCTGTCATCACCCTGTCATCACCCTGTCATCACCCTGTCATCACCCTGTCATCACCCTGTCATCACCCTGTCATCACCCTGTCATCACCCTGTCATCACGCTGTCATCACCCTGTCATCTCCCTGTCATCTCCCTGTCATCACCCTGTCCGTGAATTGCCCTCGTTGTCGCATGAGCGCTGTGGCCATCTTGGACAGCTGTGGGGCCACACCTTGCACCATCCTCACCCTCTCCTCACCCCCTCCTCCCCTCCCCCCTGTCCTCCCCGTCCTCCCCCCTCCCCCCTGTCCTCCCCCTCCTCCCGCATCCCCCCTGTCCTCTCCCTCCCCCCACCGTCCCCCAACCCCCTCCCCCCCCACTCTTCCATCAGGCACTCAATCGCCCGCGCTGTCGCATGAGCGCCGTGGCCATTCTGGACAGCGACGGCGCGCACAGCGTGCTCAAGAGCGTCCTGGCGGAGGCAGAGAGGGGCAGGGCCATGTGGCGCGCGGTGCATGGAGGCATGGGGGAGAGGCTGGCGCATGGGGATAAGGAGGGGCATGTGGGTGGGTGTAAAGAGGGGCATGTGGATGGGGTACAGGGGGGGCATGTGGATGGGGATAAGGTGAGGCATATGGATGGGGTACAGGAGGGGCAGGCCACAGATGGCGCATGAGCGCATTGAAGAAGTTGGACAGGCGGCGCACAGAGCGTGCTGAGGAGTGTGGTGGTTGAGGTGCAGAGGGTCAGGGCGAGGTGGTTGAGGTGCAGAGGGTCAGAGCGAGGAGGGTCAGAGCGAGGAGGGTCAAGGCGAGGAGGGTCAGGGCGAGGAGGGTCAGGGCGAGGAAGGTCAGGGCGAGGAGGGTCAGGGCGAGGAGGGTCAGGGCGAGGAGGGTCAGGGCGAGGAGGGTCAGGGCGAGGAGGGTGGGGGATGTGTGCAGGCAGTGCTGAGAGGCGGGTGAATGGGGGTAGCGCCGGGCACGGCACAGATGGCGCATGAGCGCCAAGGCCATGGTGGATAGCGACAGCGCACAGTGCCTGCTGATGAGGGTATTGGCGGAGGCAGAGAAGGGGAGGGCCATGTGGCGAGAGATACATGGAGGCGTGGCGGAAAGGCATGTGCATGGGGATGAGGACGGGCGGATGGGGATGAGGACGGGCGGATGGGGATGAGGACGGGCAGATGGGGATGAGGACGGGCAGATGGGGATGAGGACGGGCAGATGGGGATGAGGACGGGCAGATGGCGCATTGACCGCGGCGAATGGCAGCGACGGCACACAGAGCGTGGTGAAGCACATGCTGGTCGGGGCGGAGAGGCGGAGGGCGATGGGGCGGAGCAGAGCAGAGCAGGGCGCAGCTCGCGAGGGCTGGAGAGGCGGCAGACGCGGCGCGCATGCTGGGCAGGGGAAGGGTGAGGCGCGCGAAGAGAGGAAGATGGGAGGAGGCGTGGCGCATTGGTGCAGTGACTGTGTTGCCCGTGTTGACCGTGTTGCCTGTGTTGACCGTGTTGCCCGTGTTGCCCGTGTTGCCTGGCTGTGGGGTGTGGAGCATGAGGAAGGTGGAGCATGAGGAAGGGAGGGCGGCGTGGGTGGAGATGGCTGGAGGCGCGGTGGAGAGGGGGCCGTTGAGGGGGGTGTTGAGGGAGTTGTTGAGGGGGGTGTTGAGGGGGGTGTTGAGGGGGGTGTTAAGGGGGGTGTTGAGGGGGGCGCTGAGGGGGGCGCTGAGGGGGGCACAGAACCAGTTGATGCCCCCCCGCCCCCCCCTGCCCCACCCTCCGCGCTTGGTGAGGTGAAGGCGGAACGATTGGGTTTACGGGGCGTGGTGGGTGCCAGCAGGGAGAGAGGCGGGCGCATGGGGAGAGGCGGGCGCATGGGGAGAGGCGGGCACATGGGGAGAGGCGGGCACATGGGCTGCTTGAAGCGCCGCTCCGCCGCCAGGCCCGGGCAAGTCTTGAGGCTCCTACCGAGAAAGGCACTGCATGTCCACCCGCATGTCCTCCCTTCCTCTCCTCCCACCCGCATTTCCTCCCTTGTCCCTCTCCTCCCACCCGCATGTCCTCCCTTGTCCCTCTCCTCCCACCGGCAGGTGCCCCCTTGTTCCTTTGTCCCGCGTATCCTCCCCTGCTCCTCTTTACTTCCATGCATGTGCCCTTCGTTGCCGCGTGCCCTTCGTTGCCTCATGCCCAAGAGCCTCGCGCCTCTGTGCTCTCCTCCCCCCCTATTCCCACTCCCTGCCCGCCCCATTACAAACCCTCGCACCAACATTTGCGACAGCACCTCGCACCAGCACCTGCTCCCATCACACCAGGCAGGGGCAACGCTCCTGTGCGAGCTGCCATTCGTGCTCCTCGCCGTGCCCGTGGTGCAAGGGAAGGCGGCAGCCTGTGCGGCAGCGGTGAGAGGAGAGGATAGGGCAGGAGGTGCTGCAACCGACTTGTGGCGCGCTGGGGGGGACTGCTGCTGCTGGGGAGCTGCTACTGCTGGTCCGACTCCGATGTACTGCCATCGCCCCGATGGAGGGCAGGATGTACTGCCATCGCCCCGATGGAGGGCATAGGGCCTGTCACATACTGATGACAAAATATTCAACACTTATGGGTGTGGAATTCGATGGAATGCTCAAGCCAAGCACATAGTGAGGAGGTTGAAGCAAAAATTTGACTCAATGTTAAGCATTAATGTTGAGTTGAGGTAGAGAATGGGTCGCGCTGTACTCGCAAATTTCCTCTGCTCTGCTCTGACACGTGGGGGCTTTATCCGCGTCCCAAAGTGTGTATGACATTTGTTTCAGTACGGTCCAGCAATTACCCAGAACGTTTGTGCTGGGTTCGAAGTGAAAACGCATGTGTGAGGCTCGGTTCGAGTGGTTTCAGGTTTCGGGGGCGTGCCTTCCTGGAATGCGTTTGGTTGCTTGCTGGGAGCTCAGCGCAATGCCTGGAGCACAGAACACGGAGGTTTCGCCTCCGAACGTTCAGTTCCGTTTGATGGAGCAGGGCGATGTTGTTGGTGCAACCCTATGGCTTGCACTCGGCTTGTCGTCCTTGTTTGTGTGTGTGCATGCATGGCATGGAATGAATTGTGAGTCTATGTCATTGCTATACAGTACTTGTGTGTGTGTTTGAATGGTGTATCACAATGTGGTTTGTGTCGGTCAAGACATTAGCGAGTTTTTACAACTCGCATGTCAAGTCGTCGTTTGTGTGTCGCATGTGTTTTTTTCTATTTTGTCGAGTGTGAAGTGTCCATCGTGTCGCAGGTGTGTGCAGCAAGCCCCCATCAACTCAAGAAGAATTTATCTTGCAGATCCAAGAACAAGAGCTCAAGATTTCAAGCCCAAGGGACGTTGATAAATATTAAATAGTGAAAATAGTAACGTTACTTCGTGTAGTGTTACATTTCACTTGGTGTAGCCCCTTGGAGGGTTGGTTTCGAGACTCTTCATGGTTGGGGACTCTGTGGTGGTGTACCACCAACCTGGACCTCGGCTCTTGGGGTATGTAGAGGCTGGGAACCATCTCCCTCTCGAACTCTTCTTGCTAAGTTTGTACTTCCAAGACTATAGTGGCTGCTATACCTCTTGCCAGTCAAACCGCCATAGCATCGTCAAATCTTCATGGAATTTCATGTTTCAACTTGCTGCTAATAGACGACAGCCACGCACTCCAGATCCAACTTACATATCCAAGTTTGATTCAGCGACCAGATCGTTATCAATATTTGAAGCCGTCTGACGGAAATCCGACTGTGCTCTCTATCTCTCATGATAGGCACATCTAAGCCTATTGTGATTATAACAGATGTTTGGGGTGGGGAGCCACCAGGGGACCCAGATTCGGGCGACTGGGCGAAATTGAGGTGGCTCAATGAGAGCGGTCCGAGGGCGCATTCCTTATTCGGGGAAGGCCACAAGGGAGGGCTTCGGTGCTCAAATATATGGCCTAGGACGCTTGATAGTGAAATAACTTGTCCAATGTTGTAGAAGACTAAGTATAAAACTGCAAACACGAACACTTGGAACTCCTCAAGTGTTAGCCTAGGATTTTTACTGGAATGGTAGACTAGTAAGACAGCGGAAGTCTTGTAAAAGGTAACAGTCAGAGGTTGAATAACCTGAGTACGTGAACTTGTGAGTAATCAAAGTTAATAATGAAAAGACCTAACAAGGATTTATAGTTCTAGGAAAAGTACCTATTCGCTAATGTACCTGTTCGTCACTATCGAGCTATGCGCCCTAGATGATAATGAAGAGATGCGACTGTTCGCGTGACTGAAACGACTGTCCTATGACGAGCGCTATTTGCTGACGTCATCCTACGGACTTATCTTCTACAGTAAGATTCGACACTAACTACACTTAATCGACTTACAGAAATGCTAAGTACCAATTATATCACAACACTCCCCTTCATTTCTGGAAGTTCGATAGTGTCACTTCTTGAAGATCCCGCAAAGCTTGTTACAGTATTGAAACTTCCGTCGTGTCAGCTTCTTCGTGAGGAAATCGGCAGCCATTTCGTTGGTCGAACAGTAGACCAATCGCATCCTCCCCTTCTCGACTTCATCCTTGACGAAAAAGTAACGCAGAGAAATATGTTTCGTCCTGTTGACGAAGCCAGGCTGATGCGCGATGCGGATAGCACTTTGATTGTCGCACTGTAGGGTAAACTGGGTAGTCGTCGTCAACTTCGCTTCTTCCAATAGTTCCTGCAGGTAGAGTCCTTCGCGTGTTGCTGTGCAGACAGCAATAAACTCAGCTTCAGCAAAGGAGAGAGCAATCAGCTCCTGCTTCGTTGAATTCCAAGAAATAAGTCCGATAGGTTCAAGCCGGTAGATGAATCTAGTGCGCGACCGTCGATTAGTAGAGTCAGCAGCGTGATCGGCGTCGACGAAACCGTATAGATATAGTGTTTTGCAACCGATGACATTGTAGACTAAACCGACGTGAGGAGTTGAGACGAAATATTGAAGCACGCGGAGAAGATCAAGGTGGTGCTCCTCTTCAGGACGGCGTAGGAACTGAGCGAGCTGACTAGCTACGTAGGCCAAATCTGGACGACAAGTAATAGCGGCGATGAGTAAACAGCCTAACTGCTGTTGATAGGTCTGTAAACCAGTTGAGTTTAATGGTGCAGTGTTCGGTTTGTGATCAGTCGGTAGTGAGCGGTATGGTGTAGAAACTGTAGTAGGAGTGAGATTGAAACGGGCAGCGAGCGTCGCTGCGTACTTAGAAGCAGTGAGGTGATCGTTGTCGGTGAACAGGTAATGTTTAGACCAAGGAACTGTGAGACTGTTTCGGAGACTGTAAGTTGTAGAGTTTTATGTAGTTTCAGTATAAAGATATCGGCGAGCGAATCAGTAGTGCTGACGTAGAGGATATCATCGAAGTAGGCGACGAGTAAAATATAGTTGCTGCCGTCGGTCAGAAGATACATTCCCTGGTCATGCGGTAGCTGTCAAAATCCGGCAGTGATCAGCTGTGAGTGGAGATAATGCTGCAAGAGCCGTGGTGCCTGTTTAATGCCGTACAGTGATTTTCGGAGACGACATACGCTCGGTGGGTTAGTAGTATAGGAATGCGGGTACTGTACCAGGATGAGTGCGTCGACGGGCGCATAGAGAAACGCATTCGGCACGTCGATTTGTCGAAGACGTAGATTACGACCCACAGGAGTGTCCCCTCCACTGTCCCCTGACCCTACACCTCCGTCTCACGTTTGGTCTCGCCGTCCCTCCCGTGCTCGTCCCGTCTCTCCTGTCCTGCCCACCCACCCTATGTTGCTCCGTTCCCGCTCGTCTCGTCCTCCCCTCCTCGCGTCCCCTCCTCCCTCGTCCCTTGCTGTTGCCCCTCCTCCGTTCTCTGACTACCTCCGTGCCGCTCGTCCCCTTGTCCCTCGGGTCCTTGCATCTCTTGTTACCGACCCTGCTGTTCCTGTCTCGCGCCTTGACGCGCTTGTCGCTGCTGTCGCTGACTTTGCCTCTACCCGCCGCCTTGACTACGCTACCGCTCTGGTCTCTGACCCTGCCCGTCCTCTGTCCGTCGGGGTGCTCCTGCCCTTGGCAGTGACGTCCTAGAGGACAGGCAGTACGAGCTTGCTTTCCTTTCTGAGGCTGCTCCCCATCTCTGCTCCATGCTTTTAGTCCCTGAGGGTGACCCAGACGCCTTCGACATCCCGACCCCTCGCACCTACGCTGAGGCCACCTCGGGACCTTGGGCCTCTCAGTGGATAGCTGCCATGGAGCAGGAGATGGCATCTTGGAGGTCCACCGGCACTTACGTCGACGCAGTTCCCCCGCCTGGGGTGAATGTAGTCGATGGTCGGTGGCTCTTCAAGGTGAAGCGCCCCCTTGGAGAGCCGTTTGTCTTCAAGGCACGCTACGTGGCCAGAGGTTTCAGTCAGCGCGAGGGGGTTGACTTCTTCCAGACCTTCGCCCCGACCCCGAAGATGACCACTCTTCGGGCGCTGCTACATGTAGCAGCACAGCGCGACTACGAGCTTCACTCCCTCGACTTCTCTACTGCCTTTCTTCAGGGCAGCCTACACGAGCAGGTCTACCTGCGCCGACCACAGGGTTTCACTGATACCTTCCCCCCTCGAACCCAGTGGCTTCTCAGGCGCCCGGTCTACGGCCTGCGTCAGGCTCCTCGCGAGTGGCACGACACGCTGCGGGCCACGTTAGCAGACCTGCAGTTCTTTCCGTCCTCTGCTGACCCCTCGCTGTTTGTGCATTTAGGCCAGACTCCGTTCTACATCCTTGTCTATGTAGACGATCTGGTCTTCGCTACTGCTGATAGGGACGCACTGGCCTCTGTGAAGGCCGAGCTTCTGAAGAGACACACCTGCACTGACCTTGGAGAGCTGCGTCGCTATCTTGGCCTGAAGATCTCTAGGGACAGAGCACCACGCACCATCACTCTGACTCAGTCACACTTGGTGCGTCAGGTCCTTCAGAGGTTTGGTCTTCAGTTCTCCTCCGCACAGCCCACACCTCTACCTATAGACCATGGGCTCTCCGCTCCCATTCTTGAGGAGCTCGTAGAGCCCAGTGGCCCCTACGCAGAGCTGGTGGGTTGCCTCATGTATTTGATGACTTGCACTCACCCAGATCTCGCATACCCTCTCAGCATCCTGGCTCGCTTTGTGGCTACAGGCAGACACCGACCTCAGCACTGGTCTACCGCTAAGAGGGTTTTGCGTTATCTTGCTAGTACATCGGGCATGGGGTTAGTGCTAGGAGGACGCAGGCCAGTGGTCCTTACTGGGCACACAGACGCTTCTTGGGCAGACGACTCTGAGACGCTCAGGTCGTCGCAGGGCTACTGCTTTAGCCTTGGTTCGGGTGTTATCTCTTGGAGATCCAGTCGCTCGTCGTCTGTGGCTCAGTCCAGCTGTGAGGCTGAGATCTACGCTGGTGCCATGGCGGCACAGGAGCTCCGCTGGCTGACCTTCTTGCTCACAGACTTAGGTGAGCAGCCTAACTCTGCCCCGGTCCTGTACGCTGACAACAGGGCCATGATACTACTGTGTCAGGAGCTTCGGCTTGAGGGCAGAGCGAAGCATAGCCAGCGGCGGTACTTCCTCCTGCGCGAGCTACAGCAGCGACGCCAGGCCCGCGTAGTTCACTTGGCCTCAGGTGCCAACACAGCTGATATCTTTACTGAGGTGCTTGCGCCTAAAGATCATCAGCGGCACTGTGTACAGCTTGGTCTTGTTCCTGTAGCTACTCACCTGTAAGGATCCTGATTGTGTAATCTCTACTATATATGCCTGTCAGACTGGCCTTGTGGCCTTACCTCCAGT